CACACACACACACACACACACACACACCCACGACACACCCCCACCACCCAACCCAGACACTGCATAGCCCTACAGGTGATGAAGTTACATGGAACCGGATCAGTTCTATGGAACTGGATCAATGCCAGAGTTCTCTGGAATGCTTTACTTCCTGTACATGTTGGGATCTGTACCTCATTAAGTCATCGGGAATGCAATGATCTTATCTCATCTAACATCTAAGGATGCTGGAATTAAATCTTTGCTTAAGAAACGCTCTCCTGACCAAATGACTTGGTCAATTATAGACCTATATCCAACCTTCCTTTCTGATCTAAAATTCTTGAAACTAGTTACATTCAGTTGAAGAAAACAGTAAAATGCTGAATAAACCTCCAGTATGAAACAGTCTGGCCTCTATTTCAAACAGTCCCTAATAGTCCTAACACCCCGGCCACACAGGCACTGATCCCCATCCCGGCCACACTCGGCTGCGAACCGATCCAGCGAGAGCTGCAGATCACGACCTGATGAAGCCAATAGGACCACATCATCTGCAAAAAGCAGAGATGCAATCCTAAGGACACCAAAACGGATCCCCTCAACACCTTGGCTGCGCCTACTAATTCCGTCCCTGCAGGTAATGAACAGAATCAGTGACAAAGGGCAGCCCTGGCGGAGTCCAACTCTCACCGGAAACGAGCCCGACTTACTGCCGGCAATGCAGACCAGACTCTTTCTGGTCTCTCGAATAGTTTACATTAAAATAAAATTAAAATCAGCTCTCATGATTCATATTAGAAGGGATTTAATAGGAAATTGTTTTGTCTGATTACACCCTGAGTTACTTGAAAAGATGCATATTTGTTTGACCTTTGACTGATTTATTTAAACTAATAAATAAAACAGTTAAAGTTTTTATTCCAACTTTTCTTTTCCCGCCTGTCACTGCCATATACTTTCCTCTGTGTGTCATTTCAGATGTGCTTTTTTTTCATGTCAGATGCCTTCTGTGTGTGCTAAGGCTGTTTTTGCTTTCGCTGTCTGTCGGCCCATCCCCTGTGCTATAACCTGAGGCTGAGCTCCTCTTAGCAATTAAAAAACAACCATGTCTGGGAAGGTCAATGCTTCATGCTCTGTACATGTTGGGAACTGTACCTCTTTAAGTCCTAAATAATGCATTAAACCAAAGTAATTTCCAGGGAAATGGATGAAGTTCAGTATTGCTTAATAGTTCTACAGAAATAAACAGATAAATAACAGAAATCTTTGAATATTATTCGCTAAGGTAATGACGTTGTTGGCACAGATCAGTTCCTCTGTGGTTAATCCTAGGAGAGCAAACAGCAGGTCTCAGCACTGAGTCTCTGTTTTACGATGAATATGAAAAATTTAAAGCATTTTCATAAAACAGCAAAACATCAAGAGTTGGTTAATTTCTTAAAAAGCTGAAAGCTTCAATTTCAATGTATATCAAAGCCATCTGCACTGAATGAGGTGAATCCTCCTCCCAAAACACAATAAGAAACCGTCCAACTGTTTAAGGAAAGCCTGTCAGTTTTGTGGGATGTTATCAGAAAAAAGGTCTTTATCAACAAGAACCAGATTAATATGCTGGTGAAGAATCTCAGTCAACCAGGTTACAGTCACTCCAAAAAGTTACAAAGAAAACCACAGGACTTTTTTCCAAGTTTGAAGAAGTTTTGCTTCCGATCCAGGAAGTTTTCTCAATTCAAAATGTAAATGTTGATGTGGAGCAGCTGCTGGTGTTGATGGTGGAGCAGCTGCAGGTGTTGATGGTGGAGCAGCTGCAGGTGTTGATGGTGGAGCAGCTGCAGGTGTTGATGGTGGAGCAGCTGCTGGTGTTGATGTGGAGCAGCTGCAGGTGTTGATGGT